CGCCAACTCATACTTCACTCTGGGATATAGTTGCAAGAATCCCTTCGCCAACGCACAATGCTTTTGGGGATTTGGACTCTGAGCCCGATAACCCCTAAACCCTAAACCTGAAACCTTGGTATCCCCCAACTCATTCAGGTCCCTTGCTGCCTGCAGTACTTCATCACCTTCGCCAGCTTTGGGCCGGCTCAAGTTGGGGGTTTAAAGCTGAGGGTTCCGGGTTAGGTTTCGGTGCCTTCACTGAGACTTTATCTGAGAACAACCAACCCCCCACCCCCCCGGCAGCGTTGTAGTTGCAATGTAAGCCCGGACTAAATTATGAAGCTTGCAAACTTCGTGCGCGAATGCAAGACTGCAACCATACCACTCAATGACCCGTCTTAACTACCAAAGGTCTGAGTTTTACTTCATTTGCTTTTGGCTTCCTTCCCTAACCCTGTCGTATCTTCATAAAAAGGGGCCCCAGATCAATTGAGGCCTTGATGGCTTCATGAGCCTTGTAAAGATTCTTGTTCCTTTTGTTTGAGGGGGAGGGGGTCTGTTTACAAGGGCTCTGGTTCCAGCTATGCGTGGCAAAGGGTTGTTGGGGACTTAGCCCTTAGGAGTTTAGGGTTTCTCCTTCAGGGTTGAGAGGGTTCAGTGTCTGCTTCTGTCTCGATGCTCTCCACTCTGAAGGTCAGGGATATTCAGGGAGGATATATATATATATCTATATATTAAAAAAATATCTCTATATATCTCTATATATCTCTATATATATGTATATATATATATGCTTCCCCCCGTCCTCCCCAGAGCACCGCGTTGTTTGCATGACCTTTCCCATTCTTTAGAGGGATTGCTGTGAGTATGCTGCTTTTTCCTTCAGGCGACACCACCAAGACCACACCACGCTGGTGCGACGGTCGGCCAGCGCCTTACGAGACCTGATCCGGCAAAGTTAAACCCTGCAAACTCCTGTTGGGTCTGGATTTTAGTCTGGAACCCTCAGACAGTGCCGTGTGCACCCTGTTGTCCTTTTTGTCTAGTTGTTACTTTAATGTTGCGAGTATCAGCTCCGCAGGAAAGAAATCAGCTAGAAAGCCGGAAGACACGGCATCTCATCTAGCTGTGACTTGAGGTCTTCCTCCTAAAAGCAACAGCTACCACAGGAAGCACTAGTATTCTTAACCGACTCCCGGTGAACCCTAAACCCTAACCCTGAACCCTAAACCAACTAGAACTTGCCCCAAGACCAAAGTATTCAACTGGACACCAGGTCTGAACCCGAGACCCAAAATCCCAAGCCCCAAGCCAACCTTACACCCAAAATCCTAATCCTCATGACGTACGAGTAGCACTCTCGCACACTATGCTGGACAAGGCTCATTGGCTCCGAACGCTGCAAACGCCTGCGATTTGGGAGGAGGTTGGCGTGTGAAGGGGGCCTTCTTGCGGTTTGCGGTTTAGGGTTTGTAGTACGACTAGGGAGTTCATTCCGGACCCAAATGTAGTGTTCAGGGCTTAGGGAACTCCACGATCACAAATTGTATGATCAACTTGCTTGTTGTCTTTTGTGGGCATTGCATCTCAGGAACAAAAACGTGTGGCCTCTACCCTGGGACGCAAAGGTAGCTCTCAAAACTTGGTAGTATGTGTGGGACTATAGTCGGGGACACTATAATCCCTATTCAGGACTGTCAGTATAAGGGTGAACATTCCAAGTTAGATCCCTAATCTGAAAATCATGAGAAGAACTACCTTGCGCTTGTGAGGGTATAGCCTTTCAACCAGAGAGTCAGAAGCATTCCTCCCCTGTGCTGGCTCCCTGCCGCTACAGCTGCAATCTCTGCTGAACCCAATGCCCCTGATCTTACCATGCAGTTTAGGGTTTACGGCCAAGAGCATGTTGCAACAAAGAGTTGCTGGTTGAGGGTTCACTATTTGTGTTTTTTTTGAAGTTTCCAAACTTGTCCCGAACCAAACTCAGCGCGCTAAAGCCATTAGACCCTGAAGTCTTAAACCCCGACGCCCGAAAGCCTTTCAGCAGCCCAGACTCTCTTGCCTGTTCAGCACCGAAGATCCCCTGTCAGAATGGCAGGTTCAGTTCCATTCCGGCGATGACCGCATGAACCAGAGTCAAGGTGCGGGTCAGGGTGTCGACCCCGGCATTTCTTTGAGTGTTGGGGTTTACGGTTTAGCATTTAGGGGTTGTGGGGTGTGTTTGCGTCGTGGAGCGCGTAGTGGTTCAAGGTTACTTGCAATTTCCACCTGGTCGGATTTTGTCGGGCAACGAGCATGGCAGTTGTTGTCCCATCCGCCCAGACTTAGAGGCCTCCGATCCCAAGCCACAGCAAACCTAATCCAAAGTTTGAGCACTTCAAGCATCCAAACCCTTTTCACCACCGGCTGCCGCTGATCTGCGGCAATGCATAGATTCTTCCTTCAAGAACTGGTTCCTTTGTGCCCGACCGAGAGCTCCAGCTTTGATAACTTTAGGCTTTAAGAGGCTACCCGTCACTTCAACAGGGAAAAAAACCCTAAACCCTAAACCCGAATTCCTAAACCCTAAACCCTAAACGGCAGCTAATTATGGAAGGCATCTAAGCATGACATTATTCAACTGCTTAGCTGCTGAAGCCCCGATCCCCGCCGACTGTTGGAGCCAGATCAAAATCCCATCAACAGCTCAAGTTTCTGACCAGGTAGGCCTTTGAGATGTGCCTTTTGCTCACTTACTGGGTTTCGGTGTAGCCCCAAACCCTTATCCCCAAACCCTAAACCCCAAGAGGAGCTCATTTAAGACGATCTTCAGAGGCCTCGAAATGGGCCAAACTGGGTAGTCGCGCAACCCGCTTTTCGAGCTTCTCTTTACTAAACCCTAGCCCCTAAACTCTGACCCCCGATAGACCCCAAACCCCGAAACCCTGAACTCCTACCCTGAGCCAGAAGGCCCAAAACCCGAAACCCGAAAACGCACTCTTCCCCCAGGTCCGGACCCAGTGGCGGCGGTGAAGAAGGCCACAGGAACTCACAGGAATGGGGGGTGAATGTTGAGCCTGCTTTAGTAACACCCCCCCCAGGATGTGTTATGGAACCAGGTCATAAAAGTTTTCGGGAACAGAGGTGGTTTAAAGGGCCGTCCGGCCCTAAACCCTATAAACCCTAAACCCTCAAGAGGGTTCCTTCGGCCGGTCTTTTTTTTTAAAGTCTCCCCTGTGTGGGACAGAGGCGGAAAGAGACGGAGGCCCCCCCGGTCTTTCATAGGAACACCTAGAAATATCACGATTCGTAATTTGAGTAGCCACACATTTTGACTGTTGGTGAAGCGGCAAATGTGATACTTTAGCTTGGGTTCCAACATTCTGAAATGAATTACTTTAGGTTATGGGCAATATTGCATGAACCCTCGCATGGGTTTGGAAATTTTCGAATGCGCCCCATGGCAAGCACGGAACATGAAGCAGGTGCCTGGCATCACCGGCCGAAAAGGCGGACTGAAAGTGAGCCGGCAGCCTGGTTTGCCGAGCCCTCTCTTCGGAAGTAGATCTAGACATCTGGTAGTATCCCTTAATCCGTTGGCTTCGGGTTAGGATCCCGTATACAGTAAATTAGTCAACAAAGCGTGTGTCTTGTTGTGTTCCTACTTTGGCGGCGGAGATTTTGCACTTGTTGTTCCGTGTTATTGCTTTGCGCTTGGTCTGCTTGACGGGGTTGTGAGAACTTAATTGTATGGGTAGGCCTACATGACCGAAATTGAAAATTTGTTTATTGCTTGTGTTTCTATAAGCACAAGCACAACCAAGAATACTAGTAGAACTGTGAAGGGCCTCGCCAGTGTTCTGAAACCTTGGTTTCGCCGAGGTACCAAAAACAAGGCGCGTGGGGTTCTGGTCATTGCGATACAAGGTGTTTTCGGATGCTGCTGAATTAGGGTGCGGGGTGTTGCGAGTTCTTGCCAGACAGCAAGGGCGGCATGGGGGGCTCGGCTATACAATAAAGCAGCGGCAGGGATTTGTGCTTACCAACTTTCCCGGTGAGGGTCCCTTATGAAGCCACATTATTTCAGCGAACAATGTTTCGTTTCCCTATATTGTCAATCTGTGTTCCAATCTTGAATGTGTCTGATCGAAAGCATCAAGCCTCCCACCTGACCTTCGCCCAACACCCACATGGGGCCCCCTAAAGTCATGCCCATGTTGGTTCTTGCCAGGATGGGCGCGGGGCTCAGCTGCATTCCTACCAGATGCGCATTGAGGGTTCTTGTTACTCCAGTTGAGAGGGATTGGAGGGTGCGCATGCTGAGTTGGTTCAACGCATTATGAACGGAGTCTACTGCAAGCAGCACCTTGTCGAGCTGGGTGCCGGATGGTCCAGTTGAACTCGTTCGCTGACTGCTTTGATGTTTCCTTTGCTCCTCCTCCAACACCGGCTGCGCGCGCCTGATGAATCTGAGACATGGTGTCGCTGAGGCTCGAAGAGGCTCCAGCTTTCCGTGCTCGATGCTGTGTGAGCGAGTGGTGTTAAGGGTCCACAGGGTCTGAACCTTGAAGCCCAAATCAGGAGGATTGTGGACCCTGACCAAGAATCCTTGCACCCACGCCTCATCGAGAAATTCTTCCTGACGGGTTTGTCGTTCAGGTTTAGGGTTCGGGGTGGAAGGTGTTTAATGTTATGGGAGAAACATCTGGCATCAGCCAAGATGGCTGTTTGGCTTCCTGTGCCTAACTGTGCTTCCCCTTCTGACGAGGACTATTCGGTATGTCGTTGTCTATAGGGAAGGCACGAGATCATGTGTGGGAGTTCGGGAACTGCTTGAACCATATGCTTTGTCACAAAGCAACCTGCGCTCAAACCGCAGACGAGTGCTGCTGGGCTCTGGCAGCCGAGGCATCTCGCCTTGCGGAGCTTCCCAAACAACTATATCCCCCTTGGGAATCATGTTCTAGTTTTGTTTATATAAAACCCAAGAGGATACTAAAATTATTATTTTTATTAAGGTTCTAAGGGGGGTATAGAAAATGGCTGCAGAATTTCCCCCGCCAGGGTTCCTGCAATGGGGCCGCAGTGGGGTGGACCCGTATGAGGAACACGTGGGGCCTTTCTACCAGAACCCGGATCAGCAGACCATGACCATGCTCGTCACCCCGAGGATGTGCAACGCCCTTGGGATTCTTCATGGCGGCGCCCTGATGTCCTTCTGCGACGCCGCGCTCTACGTCATCGCCCGTGAGCACACCTACGAGACAACGGGCCGCGTCCCTTGTGGACAAGATGACCTGAAAAGTTGTTCATGGTTCCATAAGTTGTATCTTGTAGGAGGGGTTGATTCAGCCCAGGATGCCTAGGAGATCTTGCCGCTTGTTCACTGAGACCCTACATTCTGATCTTGAGTCCCCAAGCCACAGAAAGCTTAAATCCCTCACCCGATCGTAGACCTCAAACCCGGGCCCTTACACCCCAAACCCGAAGACGTACAAACCTTATAAAGCCCAAGAACCAAACACCTCAAGGTCTTCGTGACCTCTAAACCCTAAACCCTGAACCCTGAACCCTGAACCCCGAACCCGAAACCTACCCCTCAAGGTCTTCGTGACCTTCAGCTTCAGCATTGACTTCCTTAGCCGCTGCAGAGCTGGAGCGCAAGTTCTGGCAGGGGGCGAGGTGGTCAAGGTGTCCGCCGACAAGGACTCCAAACGCTTTCGGGTTTTGTTTTGGAGTTTGGGGTTTAGGGTTTAGGGTTAGGGTTTTGGGGTTTTGGAGTTTTGGAGTTTTGGGGTTTAGGGTTCCGGGGCCTCGAGGGATACGTTGAAGTTTCCATAGGGATGGGCTTGATTGAATTGCAGGAGTAGTGTCGGAGGGCCAGCCAAGGTACAGGGTTTTGTGATTCCTGAGGACGGGTTTTCCGGGGTTATCGGGCCAAAAGGATGCTTTGGGGTTTCGGGTTTTGGGGTTGAGGATTATACAATGGTTTAGAGGTTTAGGGCGGTTTTTTTTCCAGTTGCTGGGGGCTGTCGTGGAAAGTTGTAGGAATGGAACCCCCTTAGTCGATGTAAAGGGCTTACGGTTTTGGGGGTTTGGGATTTGGGGGGGCTTAGGGTTTGCAACGCGCAGATTCTAGAGGGTTTCGGATTGGCGACCACATTAAGGTACGGCCGTTGTGCATCTTGCTGGACGCCCACCTCAAAAAACACACACACACACACACACAGCCGCCTCCTCCAAAATGACAATTGGCAAAACATGCCCCCGGCACACCTTGCTAAGCTGGCGAACCGACTCCCAGTGTATAGGCCCACATAGGCCCCTCTACCGGCCCTTCGGGCAGGATCTGATTCTGGTGCATGGCTGGGCCAAGGCAGGAAGCGATGGCGGCCGCCTCCTCGCCACTTTCCGGGGCATGCTGCGCTTTGCGGGTCCGGCATCCATTCCGGGGCACCGGGGCAACAAGGACCAGCTGGCCAGACTCTAGGGCTGCCCAGGCTCAGGGCCCAGAGTCTCGGGGCTGTCTTGGGGGAGTCTCCCCCCCAAGAGTCTGCATTCCTGGAGGTTTTAGAGAGGCCATCGTGCGGGATGTTCCCTCAGCCGTCGCTCCGCTCACTGTTGGTCGTTGGAGCAGTGGCCGCGGTGACCGGGCTGCCGAGATCGACGACGCGCGTGCGGCTGCGGGGTCTCGTGTTCATAGGACTTAGGGTGCATCCCGAAACCCTGAACCTTAGACCCTATAGACCCGAGTTTAGGGTTGAAAGTGCGCAGGGTTGCACATCGGAGCTGGCGATGGCTGCAGTTTCGGAGCAAAGGCCAGAACTAGGCACCGCCCACTGCCACATGGATCTTCAAGCTGTCATGAATGCTGGCGCTGAGCCTCGGAACCAAAGTGTGCCCGATACCGCGTGTGGCTGGGCTTTAAGCGGTTTAGGGCCAGGGCCTTTGCGGCTTAGCTGTTTGCGTGTTTGGTTGGTTGTGTTTGTGCGTTGGTTTGCTAGCTTGCTTGCTTGTTTGTTTGTTAAAGTTCTCTGTTCTAGAAGACCCGCATGGTCAGGCCTGTACATGGTCTTCTCTCGTTTTCGTTTGGCCCCAGTCATGTTACACACAGCCAGGTAGCCAGCTTACCAGGAGCACCCAGTTCCCTCTTTATTGTGTTTCGGTTGAGTTAGGTTCCTTGACAACACCCCCCTCCCCCCACCAGCCCCCCCAAACTCGAAACCTCTAAACCTGAACCTTGAACTCTAGACCCTAAACCTTGAACACCCTAAACCTGGGATGTTCCCCAACAGTTCTTGATCGGGATTATAGTACCCCCTTATTTTAATCCCTACTCAGGACTGTTAGCATAGGGGGAACATCCCCACCCTAAACCCTATAAACCCTATAAACCCTATAAACCCCATAAGCCCTATAAACCCCATAAGCCCTATAAGCCCTATGAAACCCATAAACCCTATAAACCCTATAAACCCTATAAACCCTATAAACCCTATAAACCCTAAACACCCTAAAAACCCTAAACCCTATAAACCCTAAAAACCCTAAACCCTAAACCCGAAGTCTTGGGATCCCACCGCTGACCCGACTCGAGGCGACGAAGCCAAAGAGTCGGCCGCCCCAGTCTCGGGGCTCTAGTTGGGCTTGGGGTTTGTTTAGGGTTTAGGGTTTAGGGTTTAGGGTTTAGGGGTTCCTAGGACTCCAACTGCGACACCTACTGGAGTCCAAAGTCTATAGATTCCTACTTAGGGCTGTTTTGCGCCTCTGGTTGCCTGCAGTCTTTACGGCTTGTGTTCGGACTTTCAGGCCTTAAACCCCACACCCTGAACCCTAAACCTCCAGTGCGCGAACCTAAGGCCCCCGAGCCCTGAACGCTGTAAACCCGCGGCAAGGGCTTTGGGGTTAAGGGATTGCTGTCGCCTACTGCGCACGATGTACTTTGAACTGACCACCTTGGGATGTTCCCCCTTGTACTAACAGTCCTTCATAGGGACTATAATCGTACCCCGATGACAATCCCTATATAGGACTGTTAGTATAAGGAGAACATCCCCAAAATCCCAATGCCTACCGGTCACGAAACGTATCATACGCGCATATCAAGCTTGGTTAACAAAAGCTGCAATTGAAGGAGGCAGGGCATGCCACAGGTAAGATGCTTCAGATCCGCTTCGAAGAGCCCAAAGCAGCGCCAACGTCGCGCCGTGGCTGAAGGAAATCTAAGCCTAGCTTAGATGTTGCAAGTTGCTCGGCGGTTTTGGGAATTAGCAGCGGTACTTGCGAGACTTAGTTGCACTCAACTGCCCTGAACCCTAAGAACCATCCTAAAGCTTCACCATTCTATTCCTTCCTAAGCCGTCCTAAACCATCCTAAGCCCTAAGCCGAAAGAGGATGGCAAGCCTGCTCCAAATCTCCAAGTCCCCCCCGCCAAAACCTTTGGCTTCAATCAGCGCAAGACCTCATGAGCACTCATGAGCCTCTGCTATAATGACATGATATTTGAGTTTATAGGGTTTAGGGTGGGTTTTGGGCAGTTTTTTTCCTCTTGAAAGGCGTCTAGGAATTCACCCCGTTAGAGCCCTAAGACCTAAATTCAAGGTTCGACATCAAGCGGCCACCGCCCATCGGAGTGGTCAAACATCCGACTGGGGTGCGGACGCGTCAGGCCTGGCACTAGCCAAAGCTCCCGGGTTTGGTGTTCGTTTGGTTGTAGGGTTTAGAGTGTAGGGTTGCCTTGGGTGTGGGGGTTCGGAGGTCGCCTTTTGTCTTCCAGGTTCGAAGGACGGCGTCTTATGCTCTTGCCATTCAATCCTGTGTACCCAAATTTAGGGTTTAGGGTTTATAGGGGCTTGGGCTTGAACGCTAGGACGCTTTAGGACTTCGCCGTTCCAAGACCCAAAAACTTCCGCATCATGACCGCCGCCCCCCCCCCCCCCCCCGGCCCGCCCCAACATAGCAAAGACCTCGAAGAATACTTGGAGAATGATTCTGCGCATGACGTGGAAGAGACTCGGCCAGGGGTACCACATCGAGGTGAAAGGCACCAACGAGGCGTGCCTTGGGGGAGTTCCGTTGGGCTCGGGGAGGCCAGGGCTGAAGTCGAAGAACCCAATATTGTTCTTTAAAACCGCTTAGAAGATCGCTGGGCAACTTGCAAGAAGTATGACTGCTGTCTTTATACAGGGATAGTTGAGCGATTTAGGCATTTAGAGGTTCATGGGAAGGTTGAGGGGTCTAGCAATATTGAAAGAAGACTCTCTACCACGCTAATTACGAGACCCAGATGTCATATGGCCTAGTGTACAAGAAGCTCACCGGAACAGCTGGCTGGTTTACGAAGAGTGTTTGAGGTCCGGAGAAGGGCGTTGCCCTAAGTCGCCTAAACTGCCTTGCGAGGTCATCATCGCGCTCCTGCACCCGAGCACGGTGGTCGTTAAGGTGCCATAGAGAACTTATGAAGTGTCGGGCTTTTAGAGTTAGAGGCCAAGGGTTCTACACTGTCAGCCCGCCCCCACTCATACGTCATAGGCTTCCCAAGACCAAGTTCACAACCTGGGATCCGAAACACGCTGACCCTAAAGAGCATGGTAGAGTATATACATGCTGCAAACCACGAACTTCAAAGACCAAGACTGGGTGTGGGGTTTCAGAGGTTTTGCGGCTTTCTCGCGTTTTCAGGATTTCAGGGTGTAGGGTTTATGGCATTAGCTGAAGTGGAGGGCGCCTAGAAGACCATCTCTCCACTCATTGTCATAGCCACCCTAGCCATCCTAAACCCTAAACCCCAATCCCTATCCCTAGACCCCAATCCCTTAAAACCTAAACTTTCTGAGCTCCTGGGCAGGCACAGCTGTCGTGCTTCCTGAAGTCCCAAGCGAAGTGGGAGGCCCGAGACTCGGGGGCTTTCGCTTGACGTGCAGTGCTCTTCAGGGTTTTTCAGGGTTCAGGAGTTTTTTATTATTTTTGATTTTTTGGGGGGGGGGGGGGGTTCAAAAGGGTTCAAAAGGGTTCGAAAGGTTTGTCAAAAGGGTTCAAAAGGGTTCAAAAGGGTTCAATGTTTGGGGTTTGGGGTTTGGGGGGTTTTTGTTGGGGGATTAGGGTTTGGGGGATGAGGGTTTACTGTAGGGTTTAGGGGAAGCTCCTGTCTTAAGGCCTCGCTGATCGGGAAAAGTCCCAACCAGAAACATGTCGCCGAGTTGTTTGGTTCAAATCGTGCGAAACATAAATAGAGAATCCCAAACATTAGTTTACGCCAAACCCTGTCCCTCCTAGACGCTGAATCTGTAAACGTCAAGCCCCAGACATTCAACCTCAATCAACCCCAAACATTTACCCCTTAGCACTTGGGATGTTCCCCCCTACACTAACAGTCCTTGAGAGGGATTATAATAACAGGGGGCACTACAATCCCTATGAAGGACTGCTAGTATCAGGGGGAGCATCCCGGCCCTGAACCCCACGCCCAGCGTTGGACCTCTTTTTGCTTTGCCCCTTTCAGGGTTTAGGGTTTGAGTTTAGGGTTTAGGGTTTAGGGTTTAGGGTTTAGGGTTTAGGGTTTAGGGTTTAGGGTTCAGGGTTTAGGGTTTAGGGTCTCCTCCGCGCCAGTCCATCAGCCACGCAGTGTGGCAGATGTCCTTCGACGAGTCGCGGCCTCAATGCTTTTGGGGTTTCGGGTTTGCTCTCACAACTGCTCCCCGAAGAGCTGAAACACCTTCTACTTATGGTCGTGGAAATAGAAGGTTGTTGACCTTGGTTCTTAAGGTAGAACCCGGGCGTTTCGTCTTGGCTGGCAGGGCGGGCAGCTCTTCGGCGACTAACATACTGGTAGGGCTGGCCGGGGTTGATTTGGAATAAGTTTCAGATCTCTGTGATCGATATTTTAGTATATTTAGTATTTCCACAGGCCCCCCACTCACCTTAGTTGGTTGGTCTGTCGAAGCTCTTTGGGGGCAGGCCCTCGACGGACGCAATCAGGCCCGCACGTGCCATGTGAGTGTATGGCGGATGTGTGCTGATGTGCACTCCAAACCCTGGAATGCCAAACCCTACATGTGTTTAAACCCAAAATCCTAGACAATGCCCCGTGAGCCCTAAACCTGGGCTGGTTGTGGCCATGAAGTGCGTGCAGCTAATGCCCAGAAGTGTCCATGAGCTATCAGCCGGAGCTTGGATCAGCCAGGTTTTAATCGACAGCCCCTAGACCCCGCACGTCCACAAGACACTCCTGCACTCAGGGGAGGGTCTTAGGGTGTTCGACAGTCGTGGGATGTCGTGGGATAGGTTTGGGAGGTGTGAGGTGTAAGGTCCAAGGGCTTTAGGGTCTCTTGGGTCGGAGCCTCTGCGGGTGGCCTATTGGAGTCTTCGGTGCCTTTCAGAGGGCTCCTTGTCATGTAGGGGCTTAGGGGGTTGCTGTCGCAACATGAAGGAGACGCAGCCCCCGCAGCGTAGGATTTCAGGAAAGCAGGATGTCGGACGTAGGGCACACACAGGCGCTGCTCACTTCAAGACTTTGCCATCTCCTGCCGTGGAAAAGCAGAAGACCTACCGAGCTTGCCCGTGGACCCAAAGCAATACATCGGCATCTACTGGCCTATCTAGCAGGAAGGACATACAGGATCTATAGGTAGGCTCGCTGTGATGGCTTCCATCTCGAGGTCGACCAGTTGCCGGGTACAGTGCCAGGCTTCGTGACGCTAAAATATCCCTACACCCTAAACCTAATTACCCGGTACCCCCTACCCCCCTCCCCTCCGAGAGCACACATGTCCTGAAGCCATGGGTCTGGCGGACTCTTTGCGGAGCGCTCGACAGCCCACACTGTCAGGGGACTCCCGGCGAGGCGCCACGGTGCTACTCTAACAGAAAGATGTCATGAGGCTTTCTAATCCCCACAAGCAGCCTGATGAATGGCGGCCGAAACCCCACACAATCTCAACCTGAAACCTTAGAATTCATGGCACTACTTACTACACTTGGCTCTTTCCCCAAACAGGGGTCCCCCGAGTATACCCCCAAGTACGATAATCTTGGCAAAAGGAGCCCCCCCACAAGGGTACCCCCTTTTCGGAAACCAACCCCCCAATGGCCGGTTTAATTGGGTTTCATTGCAAGTCTGATTCGTGGGGGCTCGAAGGGTTTAGGGTTGTGGCTGTGGGGCTTACGGCTCAGTCTAGTAGGGAACGGTAGGAGGGATTTAGCGCTTGAAGGCTTGTAGCAGGGGAGTAATCGTGGGCGGAGGGGTGGTATATGGCAGTTTTTTATATTCGGATACCCCTATTTGTGGAAATTCGGATGATGTAGATTTGGGTAGGCGCAAGAATCATGTCTGTTGGCACTCCATGGCAAGCCTGTCTAGAGCTTGTAGCTCCGTGCTGAAGAGTTCGCTGCAGAGGTTTGAAGTAAATTGCCGCAACAAGGGCTTGTAACTTGTGACCTCTGGGGCTCCCACAGCAACGTGGATTGATAGAACTCCAGTGGGAACATGGATCTTGGCGCCCCATGCACGGAAACCCAGAAGCTCCTATGCTATAGACTCAAAGTTCTATAAACCTTGGGCCCTGTTCCAAACCCTGGGCCCCTTACAGAAGGCCTTATCGACTTGTGCGGCGGCTCGTGTGGCACACCCACCGTGGTGGTCCACATCGAGGTGGGCGCTGAAGAGGGTTATCTCGTGGTTTGCATCAGGTTTTGAGTCGTACAAACAAGAGCACGCCCGTCGTGGTGAAGTGACTTCTTCACGACGCAAGCCAGACATGTACCTACATCATCATACATATATATATATATATACATATATATACACACACATACAGCCTACCTGGGCCTCCCCCCCCCCCCCCCCCCCCCCCCCCACCGAAATGCCCTTTCCCCCCCCCCCCCCCCCAAAAAAAAATAAAGAGAACAAACAATGTCAACTGTATGTGTAATATTAATTGCAATATTATAAATGGACATGTCAACATGAATCTTAATCTGAATACTAATATTAATGTGAGTACGAATTGTAATATTCATATGAGTATTGATACAAAATGCACATATGTTTTTATATGTATATGCAGAAATATGTGTATATATATGGTTCAGCGTCGAGCGTCCTGGGCCCCCCCCCCCCCCCCCATGGTATCCCCCCCCCCCCCCCCCATGGTATACTCTACGGTCCCTAAACCCTAAACCCTAAACCCTAAACCCCCCCCTAAACCCTAAACCCTAAACCCTAAAACCTAAACCCTAACCCTAAACCCTAAACCTTAAGTCTTAAACCTTAAACCCTAAACCCTAAAACCCTGAACCCTAAACCCTAACCCTAAAACCAACCCCCAACCACACCACAGGGGGGGGGGGGATCATCTTAGTACCCCATCCGCGGGGAAAACCCTAAACCCTAAACCCTAAACCCTAAACCCTAAACCCTAAACCCTAAACCCTAAACCCTAAACCCTAAACCCTAAACCCTAAACCCTAAACCCTAAAAAACCCTAAACCCTAAACCCTAAAACCCTAAAACCCTAAAACCAACCCCCAACCACACCACAGGGGGGGGGGGGGGTACCATTGGGGGGGGGGGGGGGGGTAGGGGGAGGGGGGGGGGGCCCGCCGGGGCTGAATCATATATATATGTATATAGAAGATTATACATGTGAATAATAAGAAAGTCAGCAACTGAGGAAACTATATCAAAAACAAAAACAGAAATCGTGCCGAAAAGGGGTGCGGGGGGAGGGGGTTCAGGTAAACCCGAGGATGCTACAGCTTCGAGACCTTCAAACCCTGAACCCCACAACTCAACGCAAAGCCTGCTCCAATGGATTCAGGAGAACCTGCCACTCCATGACGCGAAACGCTGCCACCCTTACACAGCAACCCAGACCTTGGGGACTTCATGATCCCGAAAGGGTTTATGTGGTCCATCGACTTTTAGAGGGAGTGGGCCCCAACCCCAAAATCTCAAGCCACCCTAGCCAAGCGGTGAGCCGTGTGGGAAAGTGAGCAGGCCGATGCACCCATTGGCCACCGAGACGACCTGCCGAAGGCAGCTGCTGACCGGTGGCTCTGAAGCAGTTTGAGGTTAAGGGTTTGGGAAAACCTGTTGTTGTTTAGGGTTTACGGTTTAGGGTTTAGGGTTTAGGGTAACGAATACCTTTTTTTTCTTTAGGAGAGGGGGGTCGGGCTGTGTCCGAACAAAAAAAGGGGTTTGATTTTCGGTTATACGCATACTTCAGGTCCAGACACCCTAAGCCCCTATACACCGAGCCCCAAAAACACTGTATGGGCCCACGCACCCTGATGCCTCAAAAAACAAAATGTTTGGGTATGGCTAGCCCTGCGGAAGGCACGGGTTTCTTCAGGTAAACCCGTACCCCTAAACCCTAAACCTTCTCTTTTGAAGAACCCCAAAGCCCTCGTTGTTCGTGGGCGACGACGCGTAACCTACCAAAGAAGCAAAAAGCCTCGGGGCCTTTTGAAGGTAAACTCCCTACACCCTAAACCCTACACTCAGGGCCGCCCCCCTACAGAGGGGGGGCGGCGCTTAAGTGGATGGCGCAAGCAGACAGGTCGTTCGCCCGCCTCGCACAGCTCCGGGGTCGGTAGCACCCACGTGGGGCCCGGCATCGGAACCCGTTCTCTTCGGGACCATTGCCGCCTCGGACGGCGTGGGGCGGGAGGAAAGTGTTAGATGGCCTTCCACAATCGGGCCGAGGCTGCTCTTCGCGCCTTACGAAGGTTTCGAGCTTGTTCCAAAGCCTAACCTTCACAGCATCCACGCCCTATCACAGCAAACCCCAAACCCCAAACCCCAAACCCCAAACCCTAAACCCTAAACCCTAAACCCTAAACCCTAAACCCTAAACCCTAAACCCTAAACCCTAAACCCTAAACCCTAAACCCTAAACCCTAAACCCTAACCCTAAACCCTAAACTCCTCTCCGAGGCTCCTGGCTTCTTTCTGCGAGGCGGTGCCAAAGCTTCGTGTGCTGCCCACCGAGGCCGAGCTGTCGGCCTTCTGGGCGCCGCGGCGGACGGGTTTTACTGGTCGGAGGGATAGGGTTTAGGGTTTAGGGTTTAGGGTTTAGGGTTTAGGGTTTAGGGTTTAGGGTTTAGGGTTTAGGGTTTAGGGTTTAGGGTTTGTAAGGTTTAGGGTTTAGGGTTTAGGGTTTGGGGTTTAGGTTTAGGGGGTAGTATCTTTGCCTGTGCCACCCTAAATATATTCTTCCGGGGGGGGGGGGGGGGGGGGGGGGGGGCTGGAAGCTACAATTGTGCAGGGCTTGCAGGTAGGGTTGAGACTTCCAAGGTTACGGCTTTAGGGCTTGTGTTGACTGGTTTCAGGTTTTGGGGTTTGGCGAGGGGAGGGGCCCATTACAGGAGCTTGTGTTGGAGGGCTTGTGCAAGGGCCTTGTGTTGCGATGTCTTATCCTGTCTGGGCTTTTTAGGACGAGTTTTTAGGTTTTAAGTCGGCCATCTCCTCGGCCACACTTGGAGTCATTTGGAGTGCAGTTTCCGGGAAATCAACCGCCACGGAATCCTCCAGTACCCTTAATTACCTCAGTGGTTTTGGCTGATCGATTTTTTTGCTGGGAGGAGGTTGGATATTTCATGATTGTCGGCGTGAGAGAAAGCCTGCGGTTCAGCGACTGTGGCTGGTGGTGGCCTGGGACATCAGGGCTTCAGAATTCTAATATTTGGGGATGTGGACTTGAGCCGAAGTGAGCTGAGGTTGAATGTGACCGCATGGACCAGGCTCGGGTGCTGACTGGGAAGCGACACCGGCACTTGTACTTCTCGTAGCTGGGGCCAAGCCCCAACTCCAACGCCCCAAGGGGTATGTAATATAGGGACCTGAATGATTAGAATAGGGTTTGGGGGTTATTCGGGACCATAACTGAGTAATATTGGTAATTATTCCGAACCTTAATGGTACGCTAAGCATGTGAGTTGAGAGTCTATACGACGAGCTTGTAGGACCTATGCAGTATAACGCAGCACGTCCAAACAGTTCCTCTTTGTTTCCAGTATCGGCTCGTTCGGTCTGAGTTGTCTCCGGAACTGAAACCCAAACAGTCACGAGGCGCAACTTTGTGTTGCGATCCGCCAGCAGTTGACGCGGAGCGCGGAGGGTCCATGGCAACTGCAGGTGCTTGGGCTCGCATTTTGGGTCGGCGGGGGTCTAAGATGGTTGAACCCTAGTGAAACCCGTAAAGTCAGACAGTTATAGAAGTCTTAAGCCTACAATGAGTCAAATCCGTTTCATGTCCCCACTTTTGGCGCTAGTTCTCTTCTCAACCTGGAGCTTGCCACAACCATACCTGGAGGGACAAAAACCATCATCTGTTATGTTATTTAGGAGTCTTCTCAGCGCTTTGAAACGCGTTTAGCTTGTGCAGCCGCTAGCCCACCACGAGATTCGGGAAGGTACAAGTTGGCCGAAAAGAACAGTAGGCATAGTTCACAGCAGCTTCTGTGGGGATGTGATGCCGAGCTGCTCTAGGCACGCGTGCTGCGAGTCCTGATATCGGCCTTCGGCCGACAGCCCCGTGGAAGGCTGCTGCAGGGCCCCAGTTTAATTTGTAGAGGGTTTGCCTAAATGCCAACACTTTGTAGGTGGCCGAATAACCTCGGGGCTGTTCACACAAGTGCTCTTTGGAGGTCCTCGGGCAGGGCGCGCGGTGTTGCAAAGGTGCCTTCCTCAATCCCCAGAACTAGGCTCACGGTTCAGGATTTAGGGCCAAGTAGGCTCTTTCAGGTTGAATTCAACCCCAAGCCCCAAGCCTCATGAACCCGAAACCCTAAAAGTTTAGGATGTCACCTCGGCTTTGAGGGCCTCTCCCTTAAAGCCTCCTGCGTCAGGGCTCTAGCCTCGTCGGCTCTTGCAGGGAGCAGCAGCTGAGCTTTTTCAGTGGTACCTCTTTGGTTGTTTGTTTTTTGTTATAGGACGTTCCATTTTCATGAGAACCTAAGCCCTATCACATATCTTAACATTAAACAGGGAAGCGTTTCGGTTCTTGGGCAACATGCCCGTACACAACAGCACGTCGCCCTTTTGTTTTGACTTCATGTTAGGTTGCTTGGGAGCCAAGGCGAGGGCCTGGTCAGACAGCTGGCGTCGGCAGAGGCGCCATGCTACGCTGTCTTTGATGACGGGGCGCCCCTCTTGGACTCTCATCATGTGGCCTCTGAATGTCTTAGGCCATCCAATTTTTCTGTTAGCCTCAACTTTCATGGAGCCTCGCCTTTCTGGGACAGCTGGTGAATGGTGCAGCTGCGACCTAAGTTATGGCAAGCGACATGGAATTCCTGCCAGTCGCAATGCAGAAACGCATGAAACGCGCATCATCGCCGTAATTTTCGACACAAGCCCCAGAACCCTACACCGCAAGCCCCTGAACAATCCTCCCCGTGCTTCGAATTTCGAGCAACCCCAAGGACCCTAAACCCTCGACCCTGGGATGTCCCCCCTTATGCTAGCGGTCCTTTATAGGGATTATACGACCCCCCCCCCCCCACAAAAAAAAAAAAAAATCGTCCCGATCAAGGACTGTGAGTATAAGAGGGAACATCCCATCCCAACCCTAAGCCATTAAGCCCTAATTAAACCCTAAACCCAAAGTCTTGGGATCCCAAACCTCAACCCTAAGCCGGGGCATCCCCACCTTTTTTTCTACCGCTTCAGAGACTGGCGCAGGTCCCAGAGGTCCGCGATGAGGCCGCGCGCGTCGTGCAGCTCCTCGAGCTTTCAAGGCTCCTTGCCCCAAATCACTCCTAGGGTTTTAAGGGTTCCGGGTTTAGGGTTTACGTGCTTTATGGGGGGTTTTTATCTGGGTTTACATGGGTTTCTATGGGTTTATATGTGTTTTTGGGGGGTGTATTGTGTTTCCAGCTTATAGGGCAAACTGACCAGATGATGTGGTGGTTCAGTCTAGGCTGAGAATCCGCAAGCAGCGTAATCGGTGTTGGAGGGTTTGGACGGCCAAGCTTTAGGGGATTTAATAGAGGGGTCGGACAAAATAGTAATCGTATTCCCTTTTTATGGCCCCTTCATACATATATTATACTGACCCCCAAACCCTTTTCTACTTATTATTCAGGCCCGTATATTCGGGCTCTAGGGTGACTCACCGTTCACATCCCGGGCTGGCTCGTAGGATCACACCCTCAGGCTTTCTATCGTCTCTTTTAGGAAATGTTAAGGGAATATATACAAATTACGTTTATGTTACGGCCGGTGTAGGCTTACAAAGGGGTCCGTTACCTGTCTTAAGGCCCCCTCCAGCATAGGTGCATGTAGGGCAAGGCAATCGAGCTGCACCGGCTCTTTACGGACAACTGCTTAGGCCGGAACCCTCGACTTCAACCATGCCCCCTGACAAGCACCGCAACCGCAACGCGCACAAGCGTCGAGCATGCAAGCCCTGAGGTCCCTCCCAGCAGGGGAGTCCTTGCAAGACGTTGCCAGAAAAGGCCCTGCACCTTCGTCTTTCGTCACCGACTTCGGGTTGGGTTTTCATGCATGGCAGAGGTTATTTTGTGTGCACCCCGCCTTCATATGTCGCTGCTGTTCTTGGGGTGCCATGGAACTAATCATCCTGAATGAGCCCCATTTCCCCAGAGAAGGGCGCCCTTGTGCCATAGGTTGCTGAGGGTTACTGTGCAACCCAGAAAGAGGATGGGCGATTATACCCTATAAGCCCTGAGAAAGGCCCTTTTCTAGGGTTGATTGTGGGGATGATACGGCCGAACATCCCTCGAAAAAGGCGGCTTGCTCTCTTTCACGGCCACCGCGCCAGCTGCACCGGCCCCCTCGGCCGTGGCTGAGCCACCGCGGAGGTCGTGGCTGCAAAGGCATATTGGTACAGAAGTAGGGACGAGACCTGTCATACTAGTTAATATTAATTTAGTAATAATAATAATACTAGCAATAATAGGCATAATGATGATGGTGATGATGATGATGATGATATATCTATATAAATACATATAAATACATATAAATAAAAAATAAATATAAATATATAATATATATATATATATGTATAATGCATGATTTTTTATAGCTGCATTTGTCAAAGGTTTTATGAGGAGCTAAAGGCGTCTGAGTCTGTGGCTTCGGATGTCAAATCCGGCTTTTCGCTGAGCCTTGAAGCCTTGGAGCCCCATCGCAGGTCACGAAAGGAGTTCGAGGCCTCGGTCGACCTCCTGGACCTTTCGCCAATGCCCACCCTGGAGCCGCTCGGCCGTTCGGAGACAGAGGGCCCTAAGCCCTAAACCCTAAACCCTTAACCCTAGACCTTAAACCCTAAACCCTAAACCGGGGGGCTTGCCATGGGCGGCTGTCGAATACAATTGTGGCCCCTAGTTGTGGCTTCCGAGGCCTGCTGCCGCGCCGGGGCCGGCTGCCTCACAGGCGCCTTTTGGGGCTGGGGGGTTTAGGAAGAAGGGTTTGGGGTTTATGGTTTAGGGCTTAGGGTGTAGGGTTTAGGGTTTGGGTTTAGGGCCTAGGATTTGGGGTTCAGGACTTCGGGTTTGGGGGCTACAAGCTTAGGAGTTAGGGGGGTTTATCGGGGTAGGAATTTTGGGGGGTAGGGTTCAGGCTTGGGGTATCTGAGGGTGGAGTCAAGGGGTTAACGGGTTAAGGAGCGGGGTAGAGCAGGGGGGGCAGGGGGCATGTCGGGTTTGTGGGTTTGGGACCTTGGGAATTTGTTGGGCTTGGGGGCCTGTAGGATCTTCACGATTCAGAGTATTTTTTCCGCTTCAGGAATCTAGTAGGGTTTGTGATTTTCGTACCTTTTAGTAGTGGTTTCAGGGTTTTGCGGCTTCTAGGGTCTAGGATGTCTTGGGCTTGAGGCTTTTCATGCTTGGTGCCCTTGTGCTCATGCGGTGTGTGTTCCTGGAAATTGGCATGGCTTTACTCCTTGGTGGAGATATCGACCCCCCCCCCAAACTGAGCCGTGAGCTTGAAACCCTTATTGCTTAGGGTTTGCTTAATGGGGGCTCCCCTCCCCCCTAAATCGGTTGCTCGCAGGTTCCGGCTGCCCGTCGCCCGCGCGAGAGCAGTGCCAGCGCTGGGGCATCGCCAACAGGCGGAGTTCAGGAATTTTAGGGTTAGGGCCCAGGCTTTGGGTGGCAATCCTCTGGCTCATAAATGGGTTGCTTACGATGTGTCAGGTTTTCGTACGGTTTAGGGGCTACAGAAATCAGGGCTTCGGGTTTACTCAGACTAGCCTTCGTGTTGATGTTCGGTTGCTACCCTCAGGTGAACTCCTAGGACCCGGGGTTGGCCCCTATTCGCTTTTGTTCAGGGTTTAGGCTCCCTTATAATCCCCTTGAAAACAAAAGGGCAGCCCTTTATACCTGGGTTACTCTTGGGTCTAGAAGAAACGACAGCCCTTATGATGCGAGGCAGTGACGGCGCCATATCCCAGCTGAAGGCCACGTTGTTGGAGCGTGGCTTCCGGGTTCAATCCTCTGCCACAGAAAATAGAGGGAACCTTACAGCACTTTAAGAGGTATCCTCAGCAGATGCCTTGTTTCAAGGGGGGGAATGCTTTTAAATTTAGAGGATGATTTGGATGTAAAGAGAGCCAGGATTGAACCACCTGTTGCCCTTCTGAGCCTACATGCAACCCGTAACCCTAAGCCTTGAAGCTGCCATTCTAGCTGTGTAACCACCCTGAGCCTGCATCGTGTGGTCAGCTTTCGCGTGGTTGATAGTTGCCGGCTAAGCCGTGTAAACCTCATTAAACAATACTTCCAGTATGGTCTCAGTTGTTGTTCCCAGGTCATGGGTTGCGCTGGGGAGCCGAGGGAATGTTTGGGGTGCGTAGCCTTCAAGGGATCTGAGGCAGGAGTGGCCCGTATAGTCCGTCCATGCTCTGCAGTTGTCTCACTTCCACGTGCGGACACCCGCGCTCCCCCTTACCACAGTGGGGGATTCCGGGATTTTCTAAATAGAAAAACCATTTCGAGCATATACAGAAGTAGATATGCATACATACATCGTCTATAGAATTACAAGGCTCCGGATTCTAATTGGAGCCCAAAACTTTGTCATAGTTGGGTAACATTTTTTCATTTTTAAGTGTACTTAACCCCAATATGGAATATAAGTTTAAATTTTGAGTATTATCCCAACCATGGACTAGAAAAAGGGAGTCTTTCCTGCAGATTGGTGTCAGGATCTCATCTTTGCCCCGGCCCCCGAGCGCTACCACCTCGGAGATCCCGATGCAGAGTGTGGCAACCAGGACCTTCTCACTGTCACGGGGTTTAGGGTTTAGGGTTTAGGGTTTAGGGTTTAGGGGTGTTCTCCGGAACTTTGCAGCTTAGAATTCAGGGTCAAGGAGTCAGGGCTTGCGGGTATATAGGGTTCAATGTTATGTGAGCTTGGGATCGCAGAAGGTGTGCCATAGCGCAGGTTCCGATCTCAGTGCCTTGGATTCAGCCCAGGACGCAGGAAAGCTTTCGGGATTTGATACTTCTGGCCTGTAAAGGTGCCAGACACGAGGAGCCAGACAGTAAGCTGCTTTTTCGGCCCGGCCTGGTCGTGTAAAGACCTCCCCGTGCCTCACAGATTTTCGACCCTCCCAACCCCCGTTGCTCCCATCCCCCCATCCCTAACCCCACTCCCCAGCATCCCCCCAACCGTTTACTAGCAGGCCCTAGGTGGCTCAACAGCATTATGCGTGTTTGAGCTCTACCCGTAAACCTCAAATCCTAGATGCCTTGAGCCCGAGACACCCAGAAAGCCTTTCTTGGTATGGTTTGCGGGCCCATCCCTGAAATTGCAGGCCTCAGAGCCCTAGGATATGCGGTTCTACGAAAGTAAGGGACCCTTCATATAGAGCCCCAAATAGCAGGATTCCTTTAGAACAAGGACCCCAGTAAGGTACCCCTACTTTTCAGAAACCCTAAACCCTTAACCCTAAACCCTAGACCCAGTTTTTGTGCCCCGAGAAGTCGGAAGGAGCTGGAGCAGATGTACAGCTTTGTTCTGCGTCCCAAGACCGCCATCCCGTACGTCCCGCCCAGGGAGGCGAAGGTGGATCGGGGGTTTGGGGCTTATAGGGCACTAGTAGGTTGATTTTTCGGACATGTGTGATTTTCCTTATTTGGGTTTAGAAGGGCCGGACCCTATATGTATGAATGTTTTTCAGAGGGTTTAAAGGCCAACCCAGCTGCTTATTTGATTTAGCATCAGTCCGAGCTTGATCAAGCCAACCTGGGTCTGAGACTGTCCGCAACACCGAAATTCCTCTCAGCCTTTATCACTCAGCCCCAAGGCCGTGTCCAAGCCCAACGATCCTTTTGAGTTCGTGTCCGACCACGTCCGGGAAATGACGGTGACTTGAGCCAGCTGATTTTTCAATTCGACATCCCTGGGTGCCCAGTGAGCCCCCCGTCAAGAGGAGGCTGTTGCTGATATCCAGGGATTCATGGTCTGGTCCGAGCCTCTGCCGGGTCACTGGAGGGCAATAGCAACAAGGGAGACATTTAGGGCTCGGGGTTTGGGATTTCTGCTTTGGGGTTCAGTGTCTGTCAGGCTTTGGGGTCAGTTAAGGGCAAGTTTAGGGCTGAGGTGAGATAAAATTACTTTCTCTTCATCACCCTGCATGCAGGGTGTAGGTCGGGGTAGGGTCCACAGGCACTCACGCTCTTTCGACACGGTCGACAGGGATCCTTTCGGCAAGTGCGATTTCCTAGACAGCCGGCAGCCTTTGACTAGAAGCATCATCAGGTCTGTAGGCAGCTTGGGACATGATGGGTGTGATAGTTCAGGCTCAAAGGTCTAGATCAGTGGCTCTTTCCCTTTGGCCCCTGTTAAGCATGTAGACCCGTTCACCAAAAGCAGCGCAACTGCTGTTTCAGCTAGGCTCACGGAGAGAAGAAGACGGCTTTACACAACCCTGAAGTCTCGACCCTAAACCCTAAACCCTAATTCTTGGACCGTTTCTTGCTGGAGTTCAGTGGATGCCGGAAGAATCCCTTCAATTGCTTGACAGAGTAGTCTCTCTGCCAGCCGCGCAAACGACGCATGAAGCGAATCACTGACACAAACCATGCGTGAAGACTCCATGACATGTATGTGCCCGCACCGTACACCCAAAAGACCCACTATACCCTGCTTGGATCTCAAGAAGCTGGTGGCCCAGCCATTTTGGGTGGTACTTCACCAACCTCCTGTTATTATAATAGTGTCCCAACCCCAAAAAGCACCCCAAAGCGAAGGTACCTCTGTATGCCACCACCAGGCGCCCCCCGCCCCTTCCCTCACAAGAGAAGAACAAGTGCATAAGTGCATGAGCACCTAGAAACATCTCCCCAATCAACCACGCAAAAGAAACGTGTACGCGCGCACACATACACACAGAGACACGGACAGAGAGTGATAAACGCGACACGCCTACTAAATTGGCACCAAGCGAGAAGCCGGACAATAGCTCGACACCACAATGCCCTCTAAGCATTAAAATACACTCAAAAGCCTCGAACCCTGAAACCTGAACCCCTGGCTGTGGCCCTTGTCCGCTGGGAAGACTGCGTCGCTTTGACCCACACTTCGGCGTGCCAGGTGCTTGGCCTGCCCAGCAAAAGAGCTGACTGGGTCGTGGGGTGCGGGTGGGGTGTGGCTTTTAGCGTGCACGCACCAGGTCGGGGCATCCCGATGCCCTTTAAACCCTGAGACACTCAAGCCCTCAAGGGACCTCCTCAGCATCTTACAACTTTTTAGGTGACCAGCGTCCAAAACAGAATAAGAGCCCCCCGCACAAAATGAATATACACACAACAAGCATTAAAAAAAACATATATATATATATATATATAATATAGAGAGAGAGAGACGCAGTGGATCTCCACGTAACCCTAGAACCTGCCTGTCCAGGGACACGACGGAAGGCCCTGAGGCTGCCAATTTTTGAGCTTGAGGGAGGGGGGGCTGCTCAATCCCAGGGCTGGGAGGGGGATAAGAGTTTAGGGTTTAGGTTTATAAGCTTAGGGTTTAGGGGATAGAGTTTAGGGTTTAGGTTTTAGAGGATTTGGGGGGCTTTTCGTGGAGGGTTTAGGAGTTGAGAGAGCAGGGTACAGGGTGCTTCTGGGTCTTGCTGTTTCAGCCATGTTGGCTGTGCTTGGAGGCGGGTTCATGTTGTAGGATATGGGGTTTCCGAAATCAGGGGTACCTTATTGGGGTCCTTATTAGGGAATCTGACTAATTTGGAGGTTTAGATCAGGGGTCCCTTATTTTCTTAAACGCCGGAAGGATTCCCCAACTCTGACTGCTCTTGCCCAAGACTGGCCGGCTGGAAGATATTCAGAAGAGGAGGGCTATGTTTGTGCATGTGGCAAACAGCATGTCTCTTAAGCCCTCTACCCTTACTGTCCTGAACCCTTCTCCCACCGTCAATCCTTACCCGAAGAACCCAAAGCCGCAAACGCGTGTTTTGCGCGTCGTTCACCTATAAGAAACCTGCAACGGTTTTTCAGAACATGAGAACATGCAATAGTCGCAAAGAATTGGGCAGGGCGGGTCGGAAAATTGCAGGCTACCTGTTCTGGGATCTGGTCAAGAGGCACTCGGTTGTATGCTATATTGGCCGGAATAGTTACTACTAGTACTCCCTTATGATCCCTCTACAATTCTAAAATGATTCAAGCGTCTAAATTAGCATGGTCCCTACATGTTTCTACCAGAGTGGCCCCTCCCAAACCTTATTCTAATGATCCAGGCCCCTATAGGCACCCCCCACGCTCCATGATCGCGGCAGGCGCGGCACAAGCGGCAGACGCGGGTGTCTTGCTCAGGAATTGCCAAGGTCGAGGTCGTGGATGCCATGGCGGCTTAGGGAGTTGTGTGGGGTTTTTCGAGGTTTAGAGGGGTTGATAATGGTTCATGGGAGTTTATCGGTTTTTTTAGGGTTTATAGGGGTTTATAGGGCGAATAGGGGCTTAGAGCTTATAGAGATTGAGACACAGCGTCTTTACCGAAACCCTAATCTCGAATCAGGTGCGCAGGACTAATCTAACTAATCTACTACACCATCAACCTCATGCTTCCGAAGTGCGGTTACAACCTTATCGGTCCGAGGTACAACCCCTAGACATCCCTTGGCTGTCATGATTCAAGGTTTTGCTGTCAGCCTTAGACGTTTCATCTTTCCCAGTGGGCTCTCACCCTACATCCTTTCTGTAAGAACGCGACAACCACTTTTTGAGGCTTGCTGTTGTAAAAAGGGTGCTTCCCTGCACCCGCAAAAGCACCACCCCCCACCCCCCCCACCCCCCAAGCCCAGCATTTAAGCTTCAGTGTGTGGGCCAAAGGTCTTGCTACAAGTGATGGTACCAACCTTTGGGTGAGAAGCCCGGCAGTGGTTTCTGAATGTTTTGTGCTGTCGGATGAGCCTGGAGGTGGATAGGATGAGGCGGGCTTCGGTTTTTGTGAGGAGGAAGTTTCGGGCATTTCTTGGGTTGTGGCCCTTGAGCCCTAACTCCACCCCACACCGCAGACCCTATGCCCAGAGCAGCTGGTAGCAGCGCATGTCTGAACGGGCTCAGAAGACCACAAAGCCCTTCAAGCTTCAAACCTTATAAGCTTCGCGAAGCATAGAAAGCCAGCCACAAGCCAGTTGAGACTTCATATTGGTTGCAATAGTTGCTCCGAATTGGAACCCCGTTTTGGTTCCTCGGTATCCTAAAGGGACGCTAAAGTAACAGACCTGAAACTGAAAACTTGCCCCCCCCCATACACTTTATATATGTATATATATATATATAATGTAGCAGATATACAGAAATCTACGCATACACACGTATATAGTCAAGGGCCATGAGACAAGAAACAAGCCAGTGAGGCAGTATGAGCTTCGCTTCCAGTGGGGCTTGGTCCCTCTGACCACAGCTGACGCGGGCTTGTGTCGCATGCCACCCGCTTGGAGTTTCAGAGCTTCCTGGTTTCTTTTTACGGGCAGCGAGTTTTGTGGGTGCAGGGAGTTTGGTTTTATGGCTGAGGGGTTTAGTAGTAAGGTCGTAAGGGGGTTGTTAAAGGTTCAGGGATTTTCCGTTCAAGGAAATTCGGGGTTCAGAGGACGTTTGGGCTGGATGAGATGGGGCAGCCAATACATCGCTTTGGCAGCTGAAGGCTTGAAGGTCGAGACAGTCTCAAGATTGCATCAGATCTACTCTATAGTTGTATCCAAAGCCCGCTCCCAATCCTTATCCCCAAGCCCAATAAAATGCAAGAACGCCCTGTGGCGTTGGGGCCATAAGTAGGGATCCCATTTGCATCACGTGAACGGGCCCGGTTGCAGTCTATGTGACGTGGTCTGATCTGTAGGGTGCCAAGAAAGGCCACAACGTAGATCAACACCGAATCAACGCCGACATACATCCCTAAATCGGACCTTTCGGTATCCCTATCAGGGTGCGATGCGGCGTGACACAGTTCGAGCATCCGTTGAGGATCACCCGCCGCTCCGGCCATGGTTCAGAAACAGATAGTTCATTGAACCCGCAAGTCCTCGAAGCCGCAGTGAAATACAAACTTGCCTAAGCCTGCTAAGCCCTGAAGCTTAAACCGCCAAATCCTGAACCTTAAATTAAAGCCCTGCTTTGCTAAAGCTGCTGAGCCCCCGTGAAGGCCCTTAAGCCCTAAACCCCGAAACCCTAACCCCCCCCCTCCCCCCTAAGCCCCAAAAAGCCTAAAACCCCTCGGATTGGAGCCCTTGGCCTAGAGAGCCGGGGGTCAGAGGGATCGACGATCTATATGACCATAAATATGTTATGCTTACATGTATGTATGTATGTATGTATGTATGTATGTATGTATGTATGTATGTATGTATGTATGCATGTGCGTACGTATGTATGTGCGTACGTATGTATGTATGTATGTATGTATGTATGTATGTATGTATGTATGTGTGTATGTGTGTATGTGTGTATGTGTGTATGTGTGTATGTGTACATACATACATACATACATACATACATACATATATATATATATATATTATCGAACCATCTCCCCTCGGCCAGTCCAAGCTGCACGGCAAGAGGGCCTCTTCAAACATCTGGCTCGGAGCTCGGGTTTAAGGGTTTCAGGTTTTTGGGTTCAGCCCTGAGGCTTCAGGTGATTTTGCATGAGCGCAGGGGCTGGCATTCCGAAAGACCGGACTGCTACGGTTTGTTTAGGATTTAGGGTAACCCTGAATGGCCACGTCGTGCGCTCCTTCATGCCCCTGATCTCACAACCTGCTTAACTCCTGAAAACTTGAAGATTGAGCTGTCGCCTCCGTCTCAAAGCCCTAACCAAACTTCTCCCCAAAGTGCATGAAACAATAGCCCCAACCATCAAAAG